GAACTCATGCGGAAGTGGCTTTAGCTTCTTTGTGCAGTGCTTTAACCCACTGTGCCACCAGGGAGGGCCCCATCGAGGTCAGTTTTGAGGATACCTTGCCAGTTTTGACCTTGCTGAAATTTTTCTGGCCTTTGTTTTCAAATCTCCTCAAATTAACAAAAGCCATTTAGTCATAGCATGCAACACCCATGGGAATAAATAGGTCTGGTTACCTGTGTATTTAAATTAGCCAAGAGTCTAAAATTGGGAATTGCCTCTGGGACCTGCACTTAAGCTGTTTCCTTAGTCACCTCATCTCCTCAAATATACATGCATTGGCCTTCCACCATTCTGCCTGTACACCCTTCACAGTCCAGCTTAATTTCTGCCTCTTTCATGGCACTGTACTGACCTAAGTACATTAGAAGCTTTCTGAAAGCAGAGGTCCTTGTAAAAGACACTGTTTGGAGAAAATTTGAATGAATAGGGGTGTGGCTACCATAAGCAAATACTTTGTTGGCAATAAGGAGGGGGGTGTGTGTGTGTTTGGAGATTAGAGGCACTCTGATGTTAGAGTGGGTATAAGCAGTATGAACAACCTTATTAGATCAGAAAGATTGTGTAGGAATTTGGAAGAATTTTTAAATTCTATTTGGGTTGGAGGGTTGGTACCACGTCATATGAGACCTTTAAATCAAAGGTCCATCAAGATGGAAGATAAGTTAGATCAAGACTGTTAACAGTCAAGAGCTATTGCAAATTTAAGGGAGAAAGGTTGATACATGGTGAGATGGTACAGTCTGATCCCAGACCCGCCTATCTTCTCAGATTGGTTTTATTAGAACCTCTGGATGACTCGGAGAGGCCCATAAGAAGCTCACTGACAGTGTTGAGGAAGGTTCCTGAACTAGTATTTGTTGTATTCGTACTTCATTGCACTTGCAGAACACTAAACAGGAAATTGCCTCCTATCTCCCTGAGTTTTTCCTACATTTTACATTGCTAGAACTACATTAACCTGAAGCAGCAGCAATATCTGTAAGTCAGCCCTGCATTTGTAGGGTCCTAAGATGGGTGAGAAAAGATAAGTAGATGAAACCCACAGATAATCTTTGATCAAGAGTTTTTATTTTCCTTTCCTCTGTGACTCCTGCTTTTTCTTATATGATGTCATCACAAAAAGGTGACTTTTTTAAGAGAGATGGAGTCATTGCTTAGGAAATAGCTTCAGTCCTTTTAAATGTAAAAAGGTGTGTGAGGATTCTTTTTATTATGAAGCTTTTTAAACTTCTAACTGGATTGTATTTCTTATGAAAAGTTCAAACAGGTTCATGTGAAAAATTTCAAACAAAATTTAAATATGTATAGCAATATAAACATATAAAACATTGCATTTCAAAATATATACACATTGTGTAAGAGAGAATAATATAAGAACTGCCTTTACCCATCATCACTCAGATTCAGTAGTGATCAAAATTATGCTGTACTTATCTGTCCCTCTGTTGTCTTTTGTTAGTGTTCTAAAGTATATTCCTGAGTTATTTTTACTCCTGCATACTTCATTATGCATCTTTAAAAATATTTTCTTCTATCAAAAAAAGGGGGGGCCCTCCCTTGTGGTGCAACGGGTAAGGACACAGCACTGCAAGCTAGCCACAGCCCCTTCAGTGCAAGTTCAGTCCCCCACCCTGGAGGTGATCCGCATGAATAAATGATCCATTAAAATAAAGAAAAAAAATCCCACATGTGTTTCTAAAAGATCTAGTTCTTACTACAAATGAAGAGTCAGTTATCTTTCTTCAGAATATCTTCTTCGATTTAGAACAGTAGTTTTCCTTTGGACTTTATTTCCACCTGTTTTCATTAAATCCAATTATAATCCTCCTTAAGTGTTTGTGTCTACCAAATGAATATGCTATTTCTTAAGTTTAATGCTATACATTATGGTCGAGCATAAGTTTAAAAAAATGTTTTAGTAAATATTCTTAAGTGCTTTAGAATATCACTTCCTGTAACAAAGCAGAATCTCACTAACAGTACTGTCTAGATAACTGCAAAACATTTACATTGCTTCCCAGATAACTTGTTTTATTAACACTTCATAGGATCTGGTTGAAAATTTTATTTGGGGTTGGTCACATTTTGAGAGAGATGAAAATGATTACTAAAATATGATTTAAAAATGTGTTTTGTTTGAACATATATCATCTTTACAGAACAGACAAAGATATGTTCTCTTTGTTGAGAGTTTTGTAGTATAGAGCATCTGTGAGAGCTTGATTAACCTTAAGAACATTTTGAATGTGGGTGCAGCCTAGAGATTAAAGCTAATTTTACAAAGAGGACAGATGCTTTACATGCTTTTGTAAGAAATGGAATCTTTACTAGCTTCAAATTCTAAGACTTATAATGAGAAGTAGGAAAGTGAGACAACTTTTAAGTCTCCCTCTCTCCAGAAGTAAGGTATTTATTCTTTTTGAACAGTGTTAATATGCGTCAGCAGTTTGCACTTTTACCTTTTAATACCTGTAAATTCCAATTTTGTAATATGCCTTTTAGATGCCCTAATGTGAATCTGCAGAAACTCCCAGAACAGTGGTTATGGAGCGTTTTGGAGGAAATTAAATGCAGCGATCCTTCATCGAAACTCTGCGCTACCAGGCGCAGTGCAGGAATTCCTTTCTACATCCAGGTATTTATCTACAGGACTGTAGCTGTTTGTCTGTTGATAATAGCATTTTCTAATCCTCGTGACATGTGAATAAGTGTTTCTATTCTAGTTTTGATTCTTGGATTCATAAAGGCAACAGTCTCTTAATTTCAGCGTTGAGGATATAAAACATTTTCCCATCAAATAGCAAATCTGGGTAGCTGAATATGGAGCACTCTCTAAGTGTTCTTTCTATCTTTTACCTGTTATAGTGTTTGTGGCTTTGGTTTAATGGATGGACAGTATGTTCCTGTGATAGATCTGTTCTTGGGATAAACCCTCTAAGGGTAATATGAACAGAGGGGTGATGTAGATTATGCCCATATGGTAAGCGGTCACATAATTCTGGCCCTTCATTGCTTGCTTCCAGGAAGTGCACATGCTGTCTTTTTCACTTAGGTGAAAATGCTTTTCTCATTTCCACACCCTTAGGATTCTCAGTAGGCAACCAGTATTAACAGTTTGATGTGAATCCTTCCATGAATTGTCAATGCATTAAATAATCCTAATTCCAATAGTAGCTACCATGTGTAAGTGATTATTTCCCACATATTATCTCATTTCATCTTTCTTCAAACCCTGTGAGATTGGCCCTTTTTTCATTCTCATTTTATTGATGAAAAAACTCAGGTCACTGAGAGTTAAGGCAGCAGGAACCTAGGCAACCTGATTTCTGGATCCTTCCGCCTATGGGAACGAGTGGTATGTGTTTCTCTTGAATACAGATGAAAGCACACATCTTACCCCTCCCACCTTATTTTCCCACTAAACAGTGTTCTTTAAAGAATGCTCCATATCTGCCTACACAGATTTGCTATTTGGTGGGGAAATGTTTTAATTCCAGTGTTGAAATTAGGAGACTGTTGTCTTCATGAATCCAAAACCAAAAACTCACAATACTAAATCAGACCCTAACCTGAAAGGACTTTATTTCATATTTAGTGAGATAAGACCAAGCAAGGGTGTTGTAATGCAAAAACAATGTGACTAGGTGTTTTTTATTCTTTTCGCATTTTTTTCTTTTCACTATTATTCCTCCCTCAAGTTCCTAAAGTCCTTAAGTGATCTGGGATGACAATGGGCCCTTGCTGTAGAGGTTGATTTGAATAAGATCATCCAGATAGCTGGCTGGGTTTTGGTGACCTTGAAAAATTAGCTTCCTTCTGATTGGTTCTCTGCTGTAATTCATTCGGACCTTAAAAGGTTCTTACCTCATTTATCTTAATGGATGTTAAAGCAGCATCTTACAACACAGTTTATGCCATGTATTTATTTGGCTTTTGTTTCCCAACTAGCACAAAATGCCGGTGATAGTGATAGAACAATCAGGACGTTCATCTCGGTCCATCCTTAGAAGTGTGTCATAGCTACACCCAGCTCTTGGAAGGAAAAAAACCATGGTTCCCAGAAGATACAGTAGTAATTGCATGTAACTTATGTATTTTAGTTGAATAAAATTTAACTTAGTAGAAAAAACTTTCACAGATGTCCCGTTTCTCTTAATGTAACTTACTAGTATGTTAGATTTTTATATATAACTGGTAGAAACTTCTGCTTAATATTAGCTGTAAAGAAAAATGCCTTCTTAAGAGCTTACTTTTTCTGTGCACAGATATAAACATTTTTAGAATGGTTATTAAAAAATTTTATGTTTTCTGATCATAAATATACTATGAGAAATTTCTCTTAAACCTAGCTATTTTATGTGTTCTTTTGCTTTCCTGTCTTATGGATTATAAATGCTTCAGAAGAAACTGAGTACTTGACGTTTTTTGCTCTTGGGGGCCAGTGTCCCACTACCTGTATATGAAATATCTTCGCTACTTCTAGACCTATGTACCCACAGGTCTATTTCCTGTCTATGTCTATCTAGATTTGCCTATTCTGGACATTTCTATACATGGGATCCTATACTGGGTGGTCATTTCCCTGCTCTTAGCATAGTAGCGCTAAGGGGCATCCTGTAGCATCAGGACTTCATTCCCTTTTTTTTTGCCTTAAGTGGTTTGATATGCTGTTTTCTATGTTTATTGAATATTGGCAAAATGTACAGACAACATGTTGATGCAGAAAGCAGCTTTTGAAAATTCAGATATAGGACCCTTGGAGATGGCAGTATATTTTTTTGCCCCATGAAATTTCCTATGCTTCACTTTGACTTCTCCTCCAGGCAGAGGCTCTTCTGTAAAGAATTAGATAACGGATAAAGCTGATAAAACTTCATGGGGTTTCAAAACCCTTACAAGAAATTTAATCCAGAAGTTTTTCTGTTTCTGAGAAAAGAGAACTTGCTTACTGGATTAATTTGACTGAGTTGTCACACTGTATCTGAGATCTGCCATGTAATTATGATTTTTTGGAAGATTTTATTAATTTTTGTATAGAAGAACTGGGGTGCAGGCCAGAGTAAGGGTGAGGTGAGAGGATTAATCACAGACAGAGTGGGGAGCAGAACAGGCAGATGAACTGAACTTCACTGCTGAGGGGAGCAGCAGGCGAGACAGGAGAGGTCTGCTGCACCATGTGGGTCAGGGATTGAACTCAGTGTGTAGCTGTGATAGTGCTAAGACTTAACCCCTAGGCCACCAGGCAGGTCCAACATAATTTTGATCTTAAAAGAGTTGTCAACAAAAACCATTCTCAGCCTCTTAGAATTATATCATTAACAAGAAAATGAAGTAACTTTAGAGACACCTTGATAACCATGTGCACAAAATTTGAAGATGAGGAATCTGGGGAATAGAGAGTTAAGCCACTTGCCCAAAGCCACATCCCTTACTTAACTTGCATGATACCCTGTTTTTATAAAGGTGGTCTTGCATTTTGGCACTGAGTCTGAGAAGTAGCAGGTAGATCCTTGCACAATAGGAGCCCTATTAATTTTTACCTTGTTTTTTCATAGGCACTGTTGGCGTCTGAGCCGAAAAAAGGCAAAATGAATCTGTTGAAAATAACAATGAAAGAGTTAATCTCTTTGGCTGGACCTTCAGATATTGTGCAGAGCACAGTCCCTCAGGTAGGAATGGAAATATACAAACCATGAAAGGCAGGTAGTGGTTTAAAATCTTTGCTGTACTTAAAAAAAAAAAAAAAGAAACTGCTGAGAGGACAGGACAGACATTTGAAGTATGTTTAGTGGGGTTTGGTTTGGTTTGTTTGGTTGTGTTTTTAGCCTTTCCTGTCTACAAACTAAGCTACTGCTTTAGTTGATACATACTGACCAAAATTAATAATTTTTAATTCCAGTGAAGACATCCAGCTTAGATATTTTATAAGACTTGCATCTAAAAGGACTATTCTGTTACTTTGAAATTTCTTGTGTGCTTCTTTGAATTTGTATATGACTGGTATTGAATCCTCTCCCTAAAATTCAGTATCTGCCTTTTACTGTATCCACAGTTTAATTTTAGCTAATACTTCATCCCTTTTAGTCTCTGCTTAACTTTGTTATGTATATATGTATGAGTGACCATGAGGCTGGCTTCATTATTCCTCACAGCTCCACTCCATGAGTCAAATACTTCTTGTTTAGGCATCCTCACTGAATTTTTCATAGTTGAGTACTTCTACCTGACAGTTACAGACCCACCCTAGGTCAGGGAATCGACTCAAGAGTGGAAGTTTATAATCACATACAAGTACATATGGCTTTCAGATCTTGTTGCAGATATTAAAGGGGATCATGGCCAGACTGTAGATGATGGAAAAGGACAGTGTTTATTAACATGTCATGGTGACTATGATTACCTGTGACTGTAGGATGTGTGATCTCTTCTTTAAACATTTTAACCAAAAGGTTATTATCACTTTTCAGAAGTGATAGTTTTAAGATATTTTCCAGCAAAATGTAAAAAGAAAGTTCCGTTTTCCTAGATTATGATTTTAAAGGGTTGTTTTCTCTAAAAAAATGTAAAAATAATAGAATTTGGTTTTTAAGAGAACAAGCTTAGTCTGTTGCTTTTCTTTGCTTCAAAATGATTAATAGAATTTTCGTGGTCTTTTTTTTTTTTAAAGATTTATTTATTCATATAGAACTGGGGTACAGGCCAGAGAAGCGGAGGGTGAGAGGATTCACCAGAGACAGTGTGGGGAGCAGAACAGGCAGATCGATGAAGTACACTGCTGAGGGGAGCAGCGGGCGGGTCAGGAGAGGTCTGCCGCGCCATGTGGATCTCCTCCAGGGCAGGCAGGAATCGAACTCATGTGGAAGTGGCTTTAGCTTCGTAGTGCTGTGCTTTAACCCGCTGGCCACCAGGGAGGGCCCTCATTGTCTTTTTTTAATTGGTAACATTAAATGTTTAGATGACCAGTCATCTAGTCTTAGTTGATAATTTGCTTTCCTTTTTCCCTCCCATGGCTTATTTCTTTATATATCGTTTGAATATTCCAACATATAAAACCAATAATAAACTAGGAAACCCATCCCAAATTTAGTAAGTAAAACATGACAGATACACTTGGTGCACTGTGGCTTTCTCCCCATTGTGTTCCTCCTTTCTTTTCCTCAGCTAAAATTATGAATTCTAGTCATTCCCAGTGCATCTTTTTTATATTGTTAAATGTGAATGGCATATACCTACCTTTGTATAGTTTGTGTTTTCTCAGTCAATAATTTTTTTTTTAAAGACAGTGAGCTCCAGTTCATTTTAATTTCTAAAGAGTGTTTCCTCTGTATACAACTTGCCTTTCCGATTGGTGTGAAATAGTGTTTCCCAAATTTATTCTGAATTTCTCTGATTAGCTTCAATGACTTTTCATGTATTAGGGTTTTAGATTGTTTGTGAAGTTGCCTATTTAAAGGCTTTACCGGCTTTTATTTGGGTTGTGTTTGTTATATAGAAGTTGGGGTTTCTGATGTTTTCAAATTATTTTCCTGATTTTAGTTCCTTTTTGGTTATTTGAGTTACAGATATCTCCTGTCAATCTATGTCTTCTCTTTTCACATTAAGTAGTATCCCTATTACTGCATGGAAGGGTGTTGTTTTGTTTGCTTGGGGGTTTGTGTGTTTTTTGCAAGGACTTTTAAATTTTAATGAAATAAAATATATTAACTTTTCCCTTTATGATGTGTGTATTTGGAGCTCATTTAAAAGATCCTCATACCGAAAGGTCAGAAAGATTCTTTGTATTTTCTTTTGAAGTTTTACTTTCACATTTCTGTCTTTATATTACCTTTAATTTCATTTTGCTTATCTGTAAACAAATTAATTTTATTACATTAATTGTAATTACAAAATGCACATTTTTGATCTAGGACATCCTTTCCTCTTGACTTACACACCTCATGTATCATGAACTGTTTCTATCAATATGTTAGTGTGTTTCTGATCTACTAACTTGTCCCTGGATCAAAGTGACTTTTTTTTAATTAGAGTAACATCAGTTTTCAACATTGTTTAAGATGTTATTAGAGTAGGGCCCACACTGGTGGCACAATGGGTTAGGACGCAGCACTGCACGCTAGCCGCTAGCCGCAGCCGCTTCAGTGAGAGGTGGATCCCCGGCCCTAGCGCTGACCCATGTGGCGCCGCAGATCTCTCCTGTCTCAACCACTGCTCCCTTCAGCAATGTACCTCGTTAATCTGCCTGTTCTCCCGCCCACTTTGTGTCTTGTGAATCCTCTCACCGCCCCTGCCCCTCTGCCTATACCCAGTTCTATGTGCATAAATAAATAAATCTTAAAAAAAAAAAAGATTTAGAGTATAAAATCTTTCATACTGCACCACAGTCCACCCAACACTGAGATACCCATAGTTCTCCAAGAAAGTGCATTGTGCTCCCTCATTGGCTGTATTTTTTAGTAAATATTGATACCTGGTAGATTAAGTCTCCTTTTCTATTTTTGCTCAGAATTTTTTAGCTGTATTTGTTCTATGCTTTTTCATATAAGTTTCAGAATCAGCTTATTAAATTCAACAAAAAAATGCCCTTCTGAATTTTGATTGGAATTTAAATTTATTGATTTATTTGAGAAAAATGGCTTTTGTTTTTCAAAATTCTAACCCATGAACACAGCTTATTTTTCTGCCTATAGAGATATTTTTATGTCTTTATTTAAAAATTTTTTTCTGTAAAAATCTATGGGTACTTTGTGAAGTTTATTTCTATATGTCATATTTGTCTCTACAATTAAAATTGGTACTGAAAATTTTGTTGCTGGTATGTATATAAATACAGTGTTTTATTATTAATTACTATTGTGCTTATATTCAACTACTTGGCTTGAATTGTTGTAATATAGCTAGCGACTTACCTATGAGTTCTTTTAGATTTTTTTATGGAAATGCATATCCTCAGTAAATGATGCTAAATTTGTTTTATCTTCCTTATGTTTTATGCTTTAAAATTTTCATATTCTATTAGTGTAATTTAGTGTAGTTTTGTCAAGAAATAGAGATAAAAGGCATCGCTAAGTTCTCTCTAGTAGGTTTTGCTGCATTTAATCTGTATTCTGTGTCATTAAGAAAGTTCAAGTTTTTAAAATGCTTTCGTGTATTTTTTTACATAAATGTCTTCTTCTATAATTTACACGAATATATTGACTTTTTAATATAGTAGTCTTTGCATACAGAGAATGAACCCTAATTTTGACATGACTTTTTTTATATACTGCTAAATTCTGGGACAAAATTTTTAATGCTTCTTTTTAATTATTTGTTATTTTTTATTGAGGCAACATTGCTTTACAATGGTGTACATGCTACATAGGTATAGGATCATGTCCTTCAGAGATATGTTACCACACCTCACCCACCCCCAAAGCACCTGTAGTTCTCCTCCATATTTCTGCATATTTTTACTGAATTCATAAGTGAGGTGGTCTGTGACTGTGCTTTTTCATGCTATACCTATCCTATTTTTATGTAAAATATTTTATTGAACTACAACATACATATAAACACATGTACAAATCATATTTATGCATTAGTAAAGCTTTATAAAGTGAATAATACAATGTATAATCAGCAAGAAGAAATTGTACCCAAACCCCCTCATTCTTCTTTCTAATCAGCACCTTTTCCCCAGGGGTTGACTAAATGTAGCACCTTAGTTTTAGATTTATATATATATTTTTTCAATTTATATAATTGAAACCCTGCTTTCTATATACTGTCTTGCTGTGGTTTCTTTTGGCCAGCATTATGCTGATAACATCTATTCATGTTATAATTTACTAATTTTCATTGCCATGCAATATACAATTTCTCTATTAGTACACATTTAGGTAATTATTTTTTTTTAAAGACTTATTTATTTATTCATACAGAACTGGGGTACAGGCCAGAGATGCGGAGGGTGAGAGGATTCACCAGAGACAGAGCTGGGAGCAGAACAGGAAGATCCATGAAGTACACTGCTGAGGGGAGCAGCGGGCGGGTCAGGAGAGGTCTGCTTCGCATGTAGTGACCTCTGGGGCAGGCGGGAATCACACTCATGCAGAAGTGGCTTTAGCTTCTTAGTGCTCTGCTTTAACCCGTTGCGCCACCAGGGAGGGCCATAGGTAATTCTTAATTTAGGGCTATTATGAATAGTACTTTTTTTTTTTTTTAAAGATTTATTTGTGCATACAGAACTGGGGTACAGACCAGAGATTTAGGGGTGGTGAGAGGAGACAGAGTGGGGAGTAGAACAGGCTGACTGACAAAATACACTGCTGAGGAGAGCAGTGGGTAGGTCAGGAGAGGTCTGCCAGGCCATGTGGGTCACCTCCAAGATGGGGATTGAACTCATGCAGAAGTGGCTTTAGCGTCTTAGTGCTGTGCTTTAACCTGTTGCGCCACCAGAGAGGGCCCCTGAATAGTACTTTTAAGAATGTTCTTTTACTTGCTTAATAGTAGACATTTATGTGCATTTCTTTTGAGTATTTGCAGCAATTACTTGGTAAGTGTATATTCAGCTTTAGTAAATACCACTTTCTAAAAGTAGTTATCTTTTCTGTATTTTGAACAGTTAAGCTTAGCTAGATAACATAAAATACATTAGGGAGTCTTCTCTTAACAGTTTATATGGAAGGCTGGTATTATCTGTTCTTTGCCTGTTTGGTAAGGCTCATCTGTAAAATTATGTGAATCTATTTTGATTAGTATTATTGTATTTAGTATATTGCATGTCTTGGTTTTGGTCTATGGGTATGACTTTTAACTTGATTTTCTTTGTAAAATGATAATATCTTACAGCCTTTTGATTTTTCTTTGAATTTATTTTAATAAATTCTATTTTCTGGGAAATTACTCATTTTACCTTTAATTTTTCAAATTGTTTAAGGTACCAGTATTCATAGCATTATTTTTGCTTTATTCTCTGATTTATCTTTAGTCTTACTCTTTTCAGATATGCTTATATACATCTGCTCTCTTGAGATTTGTTTCCATTTCTCAAAGGATAAGTTTTTGTTACTGCTTAGTTATGTCTTTATTATCTTTGAAATTTCTGTTTTTAATTTTCTTACTCTGCTTAGAGCTAATAGTTTGTTTTATATCATCTTAGTTGGACACAGCATGCTTATTTTTAGTCTTTTTAAAATGTTAAAAGCAATTCAAAGTATGTATGTCTTTTAGAGTAAAAAAAATCTATTGTCTTTTTTTTTTTTTGGTGCAGGATCCTACATACATCTGTTTGATTAGGTTGTTCGGCTGCTACTGAAAAAACTGATTTACCGATTTTTAGGTGTTTTTCATGAAAAATTTGGTATTTTACTTGTGGGTTGTCTGTTTCTTGTAACTCAGTAATTTTTTTGTTTGAGACAATGCTGTTAGATATGTATAGATTCAACATTACCATAGGCTTCAACCCACAATTAATTTTGAACTTTTTGTTACAGGTTCATGCTTTAAATATCCTCCGAGCCTTGTTCAGAGATACACGTCTGGGAGAAAATATTATTCCTTATGTTGCTGATGGAGCTAAGTCTGCAATTCTGGGGTTTACATCACCAGTCTGGGCAGTAAGTGCTTTTGCAATTTATTTTCACTGACTTAATTATACTTCTGAGTAGATTTTAATAAACTGTACTTTTCACTGGATGAAAAAAATATATATATGTGCTGCTTTTTATCAAGGAACTCCTTCTCTGAGGGACAAAATTCCTTAGATCAAGGATTGGGTATCTTATGGTTATACGATATCACCTTTGTTGGTGTATTAATTACAAATCCTTGTTTTCTTAACTGTGTGATTACTTTAGGGTTCCGAACCTGTGTACACATTTAACATCACTCTACCCTTATGTGATATTGCACCATTTAGTATCTTAAGAACCTAACAGTAATGTACTTCCATATCTCTCCTCCCAGTCTTTGTGTTTTAATAAATGTTTTAATGAATGTTATAAACTCACATTGTCATTGGAGATAGAATAAAGAGAATAAAGGAGAAACCTGTGGTGTGTAGGTATTAATATGTAGCTCAAAAAAAAGACAAAGGGCAACAAGAAAAGAAGCTCGACTTTACTACATTACTTGCAAAATGGAGAACTTACTGAAGAGTTTGGCTTCTCAATAAGTGAGCTGCACAAAACCATTTCACAATTGTGTGATTAGCCTAGAGTTGAGTCAGTATATCGCAGTGTAGCCAAGGTACAGATTGCCTTTGTAAAGAGGGATCTTGGAGATTGCCAACTCTTGCCAGGAAAAGTATGTGTCTTCCTGTAACAAAGACAAACATCTGAAATGTGGTGTGGCAGTATTGCTCAGCTGCTCCTGAGGACACTGGGTTTACCTTTTGCATTTACAGGAAGCCAAGCAATTCCTGTATCATGTCAGAGGCATAGGGGGAGGGATGTGGCTTGGCCATCAGGAAAACTAGAGATCATAAAACCGACTGCCAGAAGTATCTGTGTTATTTCCTTTGAGCTAAACTCAAGTGACTTTTACAACTTTTAACAGAATTGAAACTATCAGTTCATTTTTTAAAAAGTCTTTTCTTGAGAGCTTTTAAGTAGTAATACCTTTACACTATAGCCATTGTGAAAATAAAGAAAAATAAAATTTACCTGTTAATTACCACACAGACAAAATCACTATAACATTCAGATGAATTATCTTTCTCTTTTTTCTTTGTTGCGAGCTGCGAAAATAAAAATCAGTGTAACCAATGAATGTGAAGAAGAAATCTTCATTTTACAAAACAATTTTACCATAGCATATTTGTTGAAGTCGTTTAAGAGTGATTTTTTCCTTGAAAACAAACATTTCCTTTGAAATGTTTGACTTGCAGAAATTTGATTGCACACATCATCTCAAAATTATCTTGTGCCTAAAGATAACTAAGTCTGTACTTTTGACCTAATATGTTTTTCCTGATAAGATAGAAGGAAAAAAACACAAGTAAAATGAAATAACTTTAATTTTGCATTAAAAGAATATTTTCCAGAAAACATTCATTTATACTTTAAGTTGACTTTTACAAATGCTTCAGTCTTTTGTATTGCCATTTATTAGTAATTTTTTAAAAAACAAAGAAATAGTTTTAGTAAAGGTATTAGTCATTTGGCACTGCTACTGTGTTGCAGGTGATACGTTACTTATACACATACACACACAAACACACACACAAATACCTCAGACATACTTGTGGTAACAGTTGTCCTCTTGAGTATTTTCCATGTGTCTGGCATTCTTTACACTGTCATCTCAGTTATTGCTCAGAACTGTAACAGGTCAGTTCTACTATTATCTCCACTTTACAAATAAGGGGGAAAAGGCTCAGAGAGGTGAAATATCCTTAGTTTGAGGACATTGAACTATTATGTTGACTTGAAGATCTGTGCTATTATAGGGCCAAGGTTTAGGTTTTATAAGGATATAAAATTCAGAAGGTACAGTTTATTTACATTGTAGGATTTTGATCCTGTTTCTTAGAGAACAAAGCTGAAGATACAGCCTAGGTAGTAAGTTTTATTGAGTGGCATAACCCCAATGCTGCCAGAATGAAGGGGAAAGGAAACTGAGACAAGAAAAGAAGAAACACATTACCAAGAGGGCCTTAACCTGATAGGAATACAGCTGGCTGTTTGGCTATGTGGTGTGTCTTCTGGTATACCAGGTCATGTGAAACTGCCACTTCTTAGAATAGTCCCATCTTCTGTCTTTTATTGGTCCATGTTGATCCCTTGGGGCATTCACACAACTTGGGCAGTAGCAAAAGAAGCCTGATTCCATGCCCTGTGACAGAGCGTCTCTTTTGAGTCTAGAAATGGCCAGATGAGTCTTAGCCTCCTTAGTGTAGGTGGGGCACACCTGGGCTTTGAGGACTGTGGCTCCCACTGCTGTTGAAAACCCTGTGTGAGAGAATTTCACACTGGGGTAGTGATGATACAGTTACAGTGGAGACCTGATGGTTAGATGGTGGGAATGAGAGGACAGACCTTGTAGTTCTGCCAAGAGGTGATGGTGGCTAAGAATAGAAAAATATCAGTAAAGATGGTGACACATGGATCAGAAAATAAATTCGAATCCAATTTTTACTTAATATTTTCCAGAAAATGCCTCAGTCCACTACAAAATGGCACCATGTACACTAGACAGAATATAGGAAATATATGTGTGCCTGCACACACATTTCTACATTCCTTCTCATGCTGCTTTGTGAAGCCTAATTTATTTTTTATTTATCCATTACTTCTGTATTTTATATATGTCTATACGAAAGATTTTTCATGTCAGAAAGTAAAGAAAAAATAGATATCTACTGAGTGAATTAAGGGGGGTACTAGAATAAAATGATGATCGCTGACTGATAATGAAGGAACCTGATAACAAATGGAACAGGCTGATGATAGTGGAACTCGCAAAATCTGTCTTACCACCACTAAGTGACATTATGCATCTCCTTCTCCGGCCTGTTGAATCGAACAAGGAGTTTCCTTTCTGGGAGTGCCTGCTCCCTTGGTAAAGCCACCTCTGCGCTTTTGATCGGGTTATGCTGCAGTAGGTGTCCTCTTCTGCTCTAGCCTCCTGTCTGCACTTCCTGGCAACTGGCAGCCTTTGCCAGGAAGTTTGGGTTAGGGCAAGATAGAGTTTATTTCTGTCTTTCTCTTTATATGTTTTGTGAGAGTTCTGAGAGGAGAGCAGGGTCCTTGGATGACTTTACCCAATCATCTTAAACCTTGGCAACAGTTCCAATAAAATAGGTAAGAGATCATCAAAGCCCAAGCTAGGGCAGAGGCAACGTTGATAGAGGAACAGATCAGGTTGACTTATCTTTTGGGTATTACAATAGGCACTTAATTAATGTTTGTTGGCTGTTGAATGGACATTACTGCATCTGTTCAATTTTAGGGTTTCCTTGCAATTTAGCTATGAATTGTGCTAGTTTATCTGTAGTCTTCTAGAGAGTACTCTGCTTAATGCAGCCTCAGGCCTCTAAATGAGAGCTTGCAAATCGCCTGATAGTCCACATTTAGCCCGCAACTATGTTTTATTTGGCTTCCACAATGTTCCCCCCCCCCTTTAATTTGTTGCCAATGTTTCAAAATAGTGAGATTTCACATAAAAATTGGGTTTCTGGCTTCTCTTGAAAAAGCAAAAATTCTGGCAGCACTGGGTTTATATTCTCTCAAGGCAACCACTCAGATGAAGCTGAATAGTGATTGCATTCCACCTGACCCTCTTCTGCCTGCATTGCTCAAGCTCTGTGAGGGTTTCTGCAGTGGTGTCAGGACACTGCTTCTAATCTTACATAGTTGCTTTTAATTGCCTTTCTTATTCTTTTGCTGTTTAACAAGAGGTTTAATTATGACACCTGTCTCATTGGACTGTGAACTCTTTGTTGGTTGTTTGTTTCTGAATATTTACCTTGGTTCTGGTTTACAGCATTCTATACTCTAGTGTATAATCTCTATACCAATCTGTCAAAGACATTGAGGAAGCCCAGTGTGCCTTGGCATTTAAGCCATTTTTAAGTGATCTAGCAAAATAACTTGATACATTGGTTTGGCAATAGGAATACTCTGTTATCATTTTGAGAAATGAGTCATTTTTATTAATGACAGTTATTTCCTCTCATTTTTTTTTTATTAACCAGGTGTCTGAGATAATTTTATTTTGTTAGGATATTAACATGGGATTAATATTAGCAGCATTTGGGGGTAGTAAAGGTTTTACATGGCCACATTAATAATGTAAATTCTTTGAATTATGTCTTACAAATGTTTTCCATTGGTAATTGACTAGTGAAAATAAATGGAAAGAGTTGAGTTCTTTATGAGATATTCACTGTTGTAAATTATATAGAAAACTGAATTTTTTAAAAGAAAAAGTTACTTTAATGATACAAAGAGTACAAAGAGATAGTGAAAACAATTGCCAGTAATATTAGCAGTATTGAGGAAAGCTGTATTGTTTGCCTGTGGTTGGATTGTAGTGCTCAGTTTTAAAAGATATCATTGAGTCCATTTCTGTAAAATTTTTGAAAATTAGTTTAAAGGACCATTATTTTCTTTAGCTCCATGATAGCCAACTGGGTAATGATTTTTGAATACCTAGCTTGAACTTTGTAAATGTTCATTTCATGCCACAAATATTTCCTAACCCTATTGTATGTTTATTTTTGCATTAGGTGAGAAATTCATCTACACTTCTCTTTAGTACCTTAATCACAAGAATATTTGGAGTTCAAAGGGGAAAGGATGAACTGTCCAAAAAAAATAGGTAAGCTCCATCTAATGCTAATTTTACTTTAAAAAAAATAATGTTCTGGCCAAAAATAATTTTTGGAATTTTGCTAACTTTTATAGATTCATCTAGAGCATTAAACTATAAAAGTACGATAGTAAATTAACCCATGCTGCCAAATGTTAAGCCTTCAGGCAAAAATGCCTACTGTTTAATAAACGGACCTTTCAAAGCAACACAAATATAGCAAGGTAGCAAGGACTGGAATATAGAGCTTGTTTCTCAGTGCCACAGCTGCTTGTATTTTTTTCCTTAGCATCTTTTTCAGGTATTCCTGATATGTCCCAAATTGCTTTCTTGATGTACCATTAAGTACTAGCTTGTGCTGTCTTTGCTTTTATAACTAGATGATTAACTGCTTAAGGTACACTCATTAGAATATGTACTAGGTTATCTTTGCATTAAACACTATGACCAAGGGGAACCCTTACAGATGTTGGTGATACAGATTTAACAATCTTTGTATTGTATTTACTCACCAAGTTGTTTCTATATTAAGATTTTTCAGTGTCTGGAAGGCAGCCTATGCAAAAACTTTGATTATGGGTAATTTTAGATCAAGGCATAAGGTCAGTTTTGGTTTTTAAAGAAGAAAAACTTTAGTTTCACTTAGAGAGCTTTAGTGGTAGTCTTAAAAAAAAAAAAAAGAAAGAAAGAAAGAAAGAAAAACTTGCAGCTGTGAACACTAGGTGTCACTGTTGCTGCATGTGTGATCAGTTTCTTCACTTCCAGTTTGGCCCGGCAGCCACCTCTAGGGGACCTGGACTCAGAGCCTGTTCCATGCCTAACTAAAGAAAGCTGAATCTCATACCTTTCATTTAGGTTCTGAGTTGTTTACTAAAGTATATGTTACTGTGATGAACTAAGTCTTAGGAAATAGATAATGTTGTAATTTCATGATGCACTGATGGTAATTCCAATGAAATCTACTGATAATCCTGAATTGTCTTTTAAATTGCTACTTATCACCCTATAAAATTCAACAAATATTTAAAAAGAAGGCAAATGACTAGAAATATGAATCCCCAGAGTATATTCAGGAAATACCAAATTTTTTTTTTTTTTAACTTTAAACTTAAGTTGTATTTCTAAAATAATAAACACAGTTCTTTGGGAGGATAATTATAATTTTGTTCTGTTTAGCTTGTTCTTAAGTAAATTCTTTCTGTCAATAGTTTGAAATCCTCATTGTTAATTTTGTCAATAAGTTTACAAAATACTAAGGTTTAAGATTTGATTTGATAATGTCATAAGGCCATAATAAATAGATAACTATAAATAAGTGTTGAGATTATCAAACAAATGAAATAGTTTAAAATGAAGTAAAAAATTTTTAAAAATGCTTTTGTTCCTTTTCATGTTTATGGAGTGAGTCTTGCTTATGTGCACAAATGAATCACCACATTTGTTTCATTTAGCTAAATAGCTGAAGGAGAGTGGGGGAATAGTGCAGTCTTTCAGTCCTTTTGCCAAAGACATAATGATGGCAACCTCCATTATAAATGCATTCCTCTTGAAAAGGAAAGGATACAAAATTTTTATCTTTCCTAGAAAGAGGAAAATGGAATATTCATATAACTATGTTGAGTAATATTTAAAACTGAAAGGAATTAATGTTAATTTTTTTAAGTTTTTAAAAGTATTTTCTGTAAGCACCTTTATTTCAGTAACCTGAGAATTGATATGATTGTGTGTGCAAGGCTTCAGTTCCCTGTTTAACCCTAAAAGAGTATATTATTTCTTGACCCCACCCACATTTGTTCTACAAACCTTTAGGATCTTAAATTTTCCATTATTGGCAATAATTCTCCTAGCTATAGTTTTATCATTTGTTTGTTGAAATCTTAGTATGCATTTTCCCTACATGTTAGCCCCCTGAGGCCTGAACCTTCCTACCTATCCTGTGTATTTCTAAGGGCCACTTTGAGAATGCTGATAAAAAACGATGCTGGTTAGTTGGTACTCAGCCATCGAACATCCATTCCGAGGGTGAGGCTTCACTGGCCTGGTCAGTCTCCTTTCAGCCACAGGTTGCCCTGCACACAGTCTTGCAAATGTGTGCTTTTGGTCCAAAGGAAATTGAACATAAAAACTTCCAAATGTTTATAAATGGGAAAATGCCTCTCCCATCTATTGGGGAAAAATATCTATCTTGGAGAAAATAGGCTTTGTTTCTAGGCATCTTGCTGTCACAGCAGATGATCTTCATAGACACCCTTTGCCTGCTTTGCACTTTAGTTTCTCCATTTATGTAACAGGAATAAGAAGGTCTATGCTGTGTACTCATAGGAATACAATGAAGATAAAACACACAACTAATAGTTCGTTTTCTTTTAAAATAGTAGAAGCCCCAAGCAATTAGAAATAGAGTTTTCTTTTTCTCCCTGCTACCATGTCTAATATTATACTCATCCTATGTTCTTATTGTTGCATTATGCTTTTGGAGGACAGAGTCAGTATTAACCATTTTTGTATTCCTGATGCCTAGCACAATCTCTAGCATATACAAACACTTAATGAGTAAGTAAATTTTGTTACTAGACAAGAGATAAGAAAGCTGGAGTCTCCGCTTGCTTTTGTTGCTATAGTTCCATGATTACCAACTGAGATAAGTTAGTTAACCTCTCTGAACTTATTCATCTCTAAGATAGGAGATTTCTACTGCCCTTGATTTGTGTAAAATATGAATGCTTTATGTAATTGGTTATTAGAACTGTGAGTTTGGTAAACTGCTATATACCCAGTGCCTAGACCAGTGTCTACTTCATATTAGGGATAAGAAGTTGCCTTTTCATATATAAAGAATTGGGAAGTTATAGCTCCCATTAATAAATATGTAGGATGCACTCATAAGAATGGATCTAGCACCCGTAGTGTTGTTTTACATGTGTCTTTATTTTATATTTTATTAAAATATAAAATTACATTTTAATTTTCTGAAGTTCATTTCTTGTTAAATACCTGATTGACTTGGCCTGACAGAATAAAGAATTGATGAGTATTTGATCTTAGGTAGAATCAGATCTGAAAATCTCTGTAGTCTGGGGGGCTGAGGGAGGTGCTGGGCTTCCCAAATAACCTTCAGTGACACTGTGAGTGCCTAATAGTCCTTCACTCCTTACAGGATGGGTGCTAAGCCCTCACCAGTGGCAGAGTGAGAATGCAGTGTGATCTTTAATTCTAGGTTTTCCCTTTAGCTCCCATATGTACTAGCTTTCAACAATTGTAATCCTAGCTAAATGATAAATGGCAACATAGAGCAGTCTGAAAGTTTAATTTTGAGACTTGCCAAAGGTTCATACAGGTTCCCAGTGTGCAAAGTATTCTGTAGTGTTCTTGCTTTTTTTCATTTTAAGTCCGTTAGCCAATAAGCAGTTGTCACAAGCTCAGTATTGACATGATAGAAAAGTGTGTGAGAAATAAAATACTTGGTCCTTGCTTGAGAGGCTTACATTTCAGCTAGGGAAACAAAAATTGTTACTTGTGAGACAGCTATGAGTAGAAGACCATATACAATAATCAGCTGAACAATGTAATGCGAGTAATGGATACAGTAGAAATCCATTAGTGGGAGAATTGAATGGAGTGTGGGGGGTGGAGGGGACAGTGTGGCTTATGAGTCTTTGGGGATGAGCAGATTTGGAGTATGTGGAAACTGGTTGAAAAAAGGAACAATACAAGCTTTCTTACTCCAGAGAGATCATATTCAAGTTAATAGTTTCAGATGGTTTAGTACAATTTAAGAAGAAAATTTTTGTAAAAGCACCACTAGGTTTAAGGAAAACAATTTTTTTTAAAGATTTATTTATTTATGATCCAGAATTGGGGTACAGGCCAGACGTGTAGGGGCGGTGAGGGGATTCACCAGAGACAGAGTGGGGAGCAGAACAGGTCGACTGATGAGGTACACTGCTGAGGGGCGCAGTGGGTGGGTCTGGAGAGGTCTGCCACGTCATGTGGTCACCTCCAGGGCAGGGATTGAACTCATGCTGAAGTGGCTTTAGGTTCTTAGTGCTGTGCTTTAACCCGCTTTGCCACCAGGGAGAGCCGGAAAATGATTTTTAATGACTATGTTAGGAGACGTTGAATTGCTTTTATTTCCTGAGTGTAAATGATAGAATTATTTTAGTTATTTCTCTTAGTTGTGTAGGTCTGGAACAAACTAACCTCTAAGGGGCATCTAATCTAGTCCAGCACCCTGCCTCTAACAGATTTCGAAGCAATTTCCAGACAAACTGGCTTTTCTCCTGTTCTGAATGTTTTCTAGGAAAAGAGATTCCACAAGTTTCTGTGGTTACCCACTCCATTGTTTAGGAAAGAATTGAATTCTCAAAACTAAAATTGAGAGCTGTGGGGTAGTTGGGTTTTTATATTTCAGGGGTTGTAATTATTAGAATTTAGAATAGCTTATTTGCCTTGAACAACATAGTAGCTGTAATAAGCTCCTCTTTGGCTGAACTGAAAATCAGAACTTTCTTTGGTATGGCCAGGATAATCTTAACATCAAACCCAAAGGATTCACATGTTCTCCATTTAACAAACATTTATTACATATTTACTTTGAGCCTGACCCTTTGCTAGGTTTTGGGGTCTAAGATGAGTCAGATATACTCTTGACCTCTAGGGAAACTGACTGTCTTAAGGGAGAACAGGGTACTTGTCTGCTCTGCAGGAGTCTGTTTCATTCATGCAGGAGGAAGGGAGAAGTTGAAAGCAGGTAGTATTTTTAGTACCTAGTTGCATGTTTGATACATGCCAGACTCTTTCCAGGTGTCTAATTTAGCTTTTATCACAGCCCTGTGGAGTGGATCGCATCTTCCTTGTTTTACAGAGAAACTCATGTGAGAGTCAGTTAATTGCTAGAGGTCCTCCAGCCAGAAGGTGGCAAAACTAGAACCAAATCCAGTTCCAACTGCAGGTGCTGATTTCCTCAGCAACATACACCCATGAAAGGAATTGTAAGTGAATCACCTTTT